TCAAAGCCCTGAGATGAACCCAGGGCGCCCCTCGTGGAGGACTGCCCAGGAGGCGTTCCTGCTCCTCTGATTCTCCCTGACAGCTAATAAACTACCACCAGAGAAGCGCTCTTAGTTATGCTGCAGACCACCGAAGGAACTGAAGGGACAGGTGGCTGTGGCTGCCAGGGCGGAGTGCTCTTCTTAAGATGATTTGAGGGCAGGCACTGCCCACGAGGGTCTGACAGATCACTGCAATCCACCACGGCTGGTGACCCAGCACGTGAACTCCCCAGAAAGGATGGAGCCAGGAAGGGGTCAGAAGTGTTGAAACTCACAAATAAGGCATAAATCTCACTTTGGTCAATGGTTTGTCCATCTCTCGCTGACATCCCTTCATTGTCAGAAGTGTTCCAGAGACAAATTTCTAGTCCAACAAAATGAGAAAAATCAAGGAGGAAATGGTTTGGTTTTGTCCCCTCTCCACCTTTTAGTTCTGGTCTCTGGGGCCAGGATGCTTAGAGGCAATAGGTGAGTGGACGGAGGAGATAGGCCTGAGATGATGCTCACACATTTCTCTTCCTCTCCAGCCAATGCTCAATGTCTGGACCCATTTATGGGTAGAATATACACAATAGGATCACTGAGTTCAGAGCGGAAAGATATCTAGAGAGGCACCCTGGCCCAGTGGAGCCAAATGCCCCTGGGTTCAGATCCCACATCTACCCATAGCTTAACTGTGTGTCATCAGGCAAGCCACTGACCCTCTCTGTTCCTCAGTTCCCTTACCCACTGCAAATGGAGATGATGATCATAGCTTCTTCACATGGTTGCTGTGAGGATTAAGAGCTGTGCAAGTTTCATGGCTTTTATTACCGTCACAGAGGACAGTCCTAGGGTTTTGGGCTGCATTGGTTCTCATCCTTATTTCTAGAAGCATGCAGCACTCTTGTGTCTATGTGGGGAATAGCTCTGTGGGAAGGCCCGGCACTTAAGCTTCACAGTTCTCCCAGAGCACGGCTAGAGCCATGTTAGGCCGTGACAACTATTCCCCCAAGCAGAAGGGGGACCAGCTTCCTCATCCAGAGGGACCTTTCCCCCAAGTGAAGTGCATTCACTCTCCTGTGCCCTTTGCCTACTCCTTGTACTCTATCATTCATTCTTCTCTCTGTGGGTCCTCTCGGCATTTGGCTGCCAGGAATCAGCAGAATGACCCAAACCCATCCTATTCTCTGCTCTCAAAAACACCTGGCCCAGGACTGCCTCAGTTTCAGGCCCCAGATGTCCACCATGGGAAATGCAAGGTCTGGATGGCTCCGCAGCCTGGCCGTACAGACCAAGGGGGTTACAGCAGATGGATTCCTCTGTGGCTGATGATTTTCCACGGCCCTTGGCCATATGACCCCGGACCGTGACCTTGTCAGTTCTCATAGGCTAACGAGGAGTAGGCTGAGTCACACGCAGAGAGGAAACCTCTGGGGGAAAACAGCAGGGGCTATGGGAGGAGGGAAAGCAAGCTGGGATCCCAAAGGCTATGGGAGCCTCACGCCTCGGCCCCCCCACCTCTGGGCAGCTTTGACTGTATATGAGGGGAAGGAAGAGGAGGCCGTGGCCTCGGGAGGCAGGCTGGGCTGCAGGAAGACAACTCGTTTGCATCCGACCTGGGATCTCAGTCCAGGAGGCTACTTGTCCCTGGACCTCCAGCTCAGAGGTCTCCTTCAAACCCCTGGTTATCAATTCCCACTTCCGTATTCTTACGAGCGTCAGTGCAGCAGAGTAGGTTAAACTAGGGGACAGCTGGCACACACATGCACATGTCCCCACATCTACTGCTGGCTCCAAAATACCCTGTGGGGAGTCGAGGGAGGAATACTGTTGAGAACCATGGAGTGAGCCACTCTGGGCTCTTGATACGCAGTGATGGTGAGGATGTTCTGGGGATGTTACATGAAGTGTTTATATTATGCCAGAAAGACAGATCAAAACTGAAAATGAGCTGCCAACAAAATCTTCCAATTCTCTGATATCCTGAACTTGGGTGTTGCATAAACAAAACCCCTCAGGTTCTCTGCCTTGCTTTTTTTTTTTTTTTACTTTAAATAATCTTTGGATTTCAAAGTTGTATGCCTTCATAGCTTTGGGTCATGAGTTACCTTGAGTTCTCTGACAAGCTAATGCAGTGTGGAGAGGTTATTTCTGAGTAAAACATGTACAAGTAAACAGATCCCTTAACTATGTATATTTTTTAATTACTTTTCTGGGTGTTTGTTTGATGAAATCCTAGGGAAAAGAGTATATGTACATGTGTCCATGAGCACAGCACATATATTTATGCATACACAAAAACACGGGGCCAAGCATGCTATTTTAAGAGCCTGAACTCTATCTTTCAACAAAGTTTAGCTGCTTTCCTTTTGCAAATGCATTTAATTTTATCTGGAAACTTTTTGACATTAGAAATAGAACAACTGTAGTTTCTCATTATGTTTGCTGCCAGAACCCATGCTTGGTTGCTCAACTAAAGACCTTATATTGCTAATTACTACCACATGCCCATATCCCAAGCGAAAGAAAACTTATTGATTCTGACAGCCCATTCTCTCAACACTGAATTCCAAATGAAAACTCAAATTTTGGCCAAACATAACATTTCATCAATCTTGTTCTACTGACTGGAAAAACAACATCAAACAAAGGGTGCTAATGGCCCTTTATTACTGTTCCTTTCCCAAGCTTATATTTTCTGATGAAAGATCTAAGTGACCAAAGGGCTTCTTTAAACTACTCAGTAATTAGCTTCTGAACCAGGAAACAAAGCATAAAGTAAAGTGAACAGCCCCGGTGCTGATGACAGCACCTACTCTCTGT